CTTATTTTACAACATTTTTTCACACCTGTCTAAAACTTTTGCACAGTACTGTATATATGAAACTGTCTCATCCTGTTTCCATGCTTGTTTCGAGGGAAAATTCTATCTATTTGAGATAGTATATGGGGGCATAGTCTCAGAAGGTGGCAGCGCTTGGCAGACCTTGTCTGAGTTCACCTTTTAAAAAATGTGAACCTGGAACCGATGTAAGTGGCCTGCTACTCCAGGCCTTGTGACTATCACTTCCCATAACCCCAGTTAACTGTTTAGTTAATCTACAGGGGACTATTTGCATCACTTCCCCCTTTCGCCCCACAAAGACAGTTACAATCACTATGTTCTTGTTACAATAGATGAAATAGAGTGATTTAATACTTTTTTTGAGGGGAATGCCAAGTCCCTATGGCTTTTCTTTCTGTCTTACCTAAATCACTAAATTCTTGTTTTTTTGTTTTGTTTTGTTTTTTTGCTGTTGGCAGCAGAGGTACAGTGATTTTAAGCCCATTTCACTGAGAAGGAAAGGGAACTTTTCTTTTTCCTCCTGGAAAGTATGGATGTAGATATGTGAATAAGACTGTGTGCACATAAAAAGAAATGGCTGTTGTATCTGTGTGTAAGTGCAGAGACTGAAATTTTGGCCTAGTACCTAATACAGTTCTGTGATTGCTTTTCAGTGATTTTCTAACTTCAAGTTGCAACACATCTTTTGGTATTTACAATAAATATAAAAGGCAACGTTTAAAACACTATTAAAATCCCACTGTTAATACTGTGAATGAATGTGGGAAGGTGGTGGGTGGGGGAGGAAGAACACAGTTTATTTGAGAAGAAGCAACACAGCCCAGATCTGGGGGCCCTATGAAGGAGTTATTTCAAAGAGACTCTGACTTAATTTGTGCACTATACATCTCCCTGGGAATTTCCAAGATTATGTTTTTACCATGGCTAGCATTAAAGATGTCTTTCTGAAATCATTATAGTTCTCAGTCCACAGCTACATGGGGTTTGCCAGCTATGTGGGGCTTGACGGATATAGACAGTCACCCAATCAGACTCCAACCATGTAAACCAGGCCTGCACAGCATACAGTCCATGAGATATATGTGGCTCACCAGCATTTTTTAAAAAGTAGTAAATTTATAGCCACTGTCCCAAAAGACATGCTGCTGAGCACCTCCAAGCCTCACTGCTGCCACCAGCTCTAGCGGTTCCATTAGCTACAGAACAGCTGATCAGCACTCCAAAACCCACAAGGATTTTTAAATTTATCAATGTGGCCCTTTCCCCTCAATAATTTGTGCAGACCTGATCTAAACCATGAATGCCTGTTGGAATTACACATTCTTAATCACCTTACATAAAGTTAATAGGGAAGATGCTAGGAATATCTTTAGGGGCAAGCATGGGGGCTACAACAGAGGAAAAACTGTCTTTGACCTACCTCCCCTTGAATTCTTGTAAATAAAAAGAGCAAACAATTTTAGCCCCTGGAAAGATTTAGGAAAAATATTAAATTGTAAGGCTTTGTATGAAATAGATTTTATTATGTTTGGTCTGTATTCTGTTTTCAGCTAATTGTGAGAATAGACTTATTATGTTCAGATAGATTTTAAGCACACATAAATAGTGAATATTCGTTAGTTGATTGCTTTCATTCTCCCTGAAAATTTATCTTGGAACCTTGTGCTCCAGATTGTTGTTTTATGATGCTATATTTTAAACTATTTCATCTTTTTTTTTAATATGCTGTCTGTCGGTGTCATTGGGTATCTATATAAACATAGAAGTGTGTACAATTGTGTTTATCTGTCAGTGGGACAGATATTGTTAAGAGTCAATTTCTTTCTGTGTCTGTACCCTTCCTAGATCTGCTGCAGAGGTTGGGCATATTGGGGTAAGGAGAAAGATGAGGAAGTTTAATTTGATTAAACTTAAAGGCAATCTGCTTGCATGACATTGTTACCTGTAATGTGACTTTAATTAGGATAGGTTTAAGGGCATATTTTAAAAAGATATTAAATGCATCTTTTTCAACAAAATGTAGGAGATAGAATTTTAAAAAGTAGTGAAAGTTCACTATATGATGGGAGTTTGTTGTTAAGGGCAGGTGCAATGGTAATGGCTGAGTTAATGATTTTGGGTGCACAGCTTGGCTGTGGAGGAATGAGGTTGTTTTGTACATTACCAGTAATAACACAAGGATTGATCAAAATTTATTTGCTATTTTTTTCCAATTATAACCCAAATTCTCCAAGCTGTTTTACATTAAGGGCTTATTTAAGGAAAATATAATTTTCAAATGGCAAATTAACTTAATTGTGAGTAACAGGAATATGTAATGTCTACTTTTACTGAAGTCCTTCCTAAAGGTGTGCATTGAGATACCAGGCAACAAGTGAGTAGCTTCATTTATTGTTTAAAAGAATATACTTTAGCAGGACTAATAATACGTCTTAAATTTTTAGATTGTATGCAAAAAATGTAAGTGTAACTTGCATTAAAGTATGGTATATAAGTAAGCGGGAAAAACAGTTTTCTTGATTCAGTTATTTAAGTACTGTATGATGAAGGAAACAATTATTCAGAAAATATGAATATTAGGAAAACAGTAAATAATTAGAAACATCCAGTTAAAATAGAGACAACAAATACTAACTGTTGTAGGTACATGAAAACATTGGTGATAAAGAATAATATTGTGAAGGAAGAGTATTATATAACCCAGTAACTCTTGTTTTCATTAAGTAAATGGTTTCTGTGCAACTTTTGTTTTAAAAACAAATTCTGAAAAAATGTATAACATTCAGGTTTATACCCAATGGTATAAGTTTGCTGCTAGAATGGCATCCACTGGCATTTCTTTATCCCCACACATTTCCTGCACATTTCCAGATCTGCTTCAAATGCCTAGGGGATTCCCCAGAGCAGATTTGGGCCTTGAAATAGGACAGAATAAGGGAATATCCTATTTTTATGAAGTCTGTTTTTACAACTTTGGATATAGTTAGTATAAGAGTGTAAAGGTAGAAAATGCCAAACTAGAGTTAAATTAGTATAAGTTTGAATGCAGTTAGCATAGAAACTCAACATCATCACATCAGTTGTTTGTTTTTTCAGCATAACATTCACTAAATGTCAAATTTATTTTTAGATAAATGAATTGGTGGATGCCCGAGATGTCACTATTGGATCCTGGTTCGAAGCTCATATAGAAAATGTAACTCGAGCAACAAAAGGACATAAAAATGGAAAAGCTCAAGGAAAGAGTGGCAATAATTACAAAAGGACTAATGGAAACTTGAGCCAAGATCATTCTAGAGAAAATACAAATAATTTGGACAATACACCTTCCACATCTTATTCAGATTATATGGACACTGATGAAGATATTATTTATCATATCAAGTATGATGAGTAAGTGCTGCTGATATTATTATGAGGATGCCATTGAGTATGTGGTTGATATCAGATTAGAAAATGGGATCCTTAAGAAAACAGGTTCACGTTTTAAGTTCAAAGGAAATAGTATTTTAAAAGTCATAAATGTGTCTGATTGATACATTGTTTGTCTAAGAGTGACATGATTTGGGGGAGAGTTTGGATGTATTTACTTTAGGTTTATTTTTTTTCCTTTTAAAAGTTCAGCTGGCTCCATGAGATGTGTAGTCATATAATAGAATTCAGTACTATTACTAGTAGTAGGGTGGGGATGTTTCTTATGGAAGATATTAATGTAGTGAAATCAACACTTACTTAAAACGTTGAGAGGTACCAAATAAAAACGGAGGTAGTCTTAAGATTCAGTAGTCAGGATTCTTTCTGGAAACTCATTTTGCCAGTGTTCTTTATTAATTTTTATAGTGTATGTATGTGTTTGAGCTGAGTAAATATGGAAATCTTATTTCCCTTTATTCAGGGAGGCAAATAAGGTCCATACAAATCCTTTACCATGAGTAATACCAAAGGGAGATGGAAAAAATGTGCTGTATCTTACCTACAAACTAAAACAATCACAAAACCCTATGTCAACAGCCAGAATATTGCCCTCTTCATTCATTCATTCATTCATTCATTCATTCATTCATTCATTCATTCACTCACTCACTCACTCACTCACACACACACACACAAAGCCATAGTTTTTGTTGCCTATTCTCTGTCCAGTATACAGAAAATAACTTTCTGTTGGGTTAACTTCATTTTAAGATCATAGAAAACTGATTTCACATTATTTAAAGCAACATTCTATCACTTTGCCAGAATCTGCATTCAAGCTCATTATTCCAGAGGTTATATAAAAAACAATATCAAATTTGTCAACTTCCTGCAAAAAAGGATTATTCCTCCTCTTTAAGAGCAGCAATAGCAGCTGGATCAAAAGACAATAATAAAATGCTTGAAAAAAATGCCAAAAGTTACAAATGTTTTTTAAGTCTGTGAAAGTTTTAAAAAGAGATTCCACAGAATTTAGAGTTGATCCAAAATAAATAACATTGCAGAGACTGTGTTCATCCCACAACTGGATGTACATGCTATTTTTAACTGCTATTGTCTCAAAATATAAGGTAATTTTTTCAGTCTAAATGGGCTAAATTTATATTTTGCAACTCACTGTCTTTCATATCTTGCAGCATTACATGTAGGTATTAAAAATACATAAATAGGGATTACAGTACTTGCTAGGATTTCTGTAGAGTCAAATAAGTCAAAAGAAGAGCTGAATTTTAAGCCAGTGTTAGTGGTTATTTCAATAGTCAATGTCTATTTCAGTCTAATGTTTTGTGAAACAACAATGTGATTATGTAATTAAAATGGAATTAACTAATCTGCTTCAGTGTGGTATTTTAAATGGATTCTTCAAGTGTGTCTCAAGGCTCTAACAGTGCCAATGAAAGTTTTTAACAGCTCATTCTCATGCTGTTTTACAAAATAGCTTTACATAGTTTGCTATATGGTATGGTGGATATTGTTCAAGAAGTATGTTCAGAACCATCTT